ATTCTTGACAAACAACAATAAACAGTTTACGTCTTTAAATATATTTAACGGCAGATCAAAAAACTAAATGCAAATCATCGTGAATATTATTTAAATAAACAACATAAAAGACTCATACAGTCTATATAGAATTACCAAGCATACATTTTATAATATTAAATACAATTATTAGATACAGTAACAATACTATATTTATATATATTTTAAAATTAATCGCAATTATCAAAAGGAATAAAAAAATGTTTTTCTATAGAATGAAAGTACTATAATAACACTATGTTATATTTTAAAATCTACATTATTTCTATCATTAGAAAGGAAAATATCTAAAAACAGTTTCAAGTACATTTTAACCACTTTTGAGCAAGGAACAAAAGTAAACGCACATTTTATTTTTCTATAACTGTGCCAAATTTATCAACTTTTATTATTCGATTTATGTATCATTCACTTCGAAATAATCATATTAATTTATTTTATATCTAAGATTAATTATGTTCATTATAAAATTGTTATTATTTCTGTCATAAATAAATTATTAATTATAATAAATTATGTAATTAAGTGTTATTATACAAAAAAATAGTAATTTATAAATTATTCTATTTTATATATTTAATTTAATGAATTAATATAATTTTAAAAAGGTTAAATAGATAGAGATAATTTAATAATATCATTTGTGTTTATATACAGAAGTGTGGAAGACCTACAACAAAGTAAGAATACTTGGAATAGAACCTTGACATCAAGGAAAATTAATATTAAAGCGTTTAACGAATCAAGGTCGTCTAATTTGTATACGCTCTAACGGAAATAAATAAAATGTAAACTTACTACAGCTCAGAATCAATTCGGAATTTAAAAAAACCTGTATAGAAAATGTTTATGTAACAATAGATCACCTTTCTCATAATAGAATCATAAATAGAATCAAATCAAAACAGATTTTATATTTTCTTCAAATTTTATTGAGAAAATCATTTTTAAATGTCTTTATATTTATTTTTTTCTACTTTTAAAATATTGAAGAACAAATTAATAATATATTTAGAGGATGATACAATCATTGTATATATTCTTTACTTTTTTAGATTGAACTTGTTTCATTATTGAGCAACGTAAATGAAAAAAATAATTTCATTTTTAACCCATGTTTTATGTTTTCATAAAGACACTTTTGTAATTTAATAACGCCTTCATATTGAGGAAAATGAAATCTAAACATTTTCTCCGTAAAATGTGGGCATTGGTCGAAGTGGGTTAATGTGAGATGACAGTGGGCAGGAAAGCTTTCAAAGTTCAATATTTGCTAGAATTGTGTTATATCGCGTTTGTAATTTCACACCAAACCTAAAATAAAAGTTACTACAAAGCGGAAAGTTTAAAGGAAAAATCCAAATATTTTGCAACGAAACGCGTGTACGGCAAAAAAAACACGAAACCAGAGTGGTCCAACAAAAATAGTAGTCGTATTAATAAAAAGAACTTCCTAGAATCGAGAATGTTATATAGCAGACAGTACGGCGCCTTAAAATAAAACTTATGTTAATCTCGCGTAGCAAAGTTACATAAATATTAATAGGATTTCGGCTTTGAATTTCGGGCTGCTTAATTATAAAGTATACCGATTTGGTTTAAGAATACTGCGAGGCAAATTAATGTGCTATAACATTTCAATTTTTTTTTTTGTGTTAATTACGACACTCTTTTCGACACGATAAAATATGAGCATTGCGCTCGAAGTCTAAATCTGAAACTAGTTTTAGGTGTGCGTATTAGTGTTGGGGCAGAACCAATTTAGCCTACGGCTTCTATCAGAGAGAGAAAAAAAGAAGTCTGCTTCAATTAGACACATATAAGAGGTCGCGATGCTATTTTTAAGCACATAACTGTCACCGATACGATTTTTACCTTTAGCCTACCGCACATTTACGGCTCCAAATTCACCTTCGATAATTATAGTTTACCAATCTACGCTATATTTTTTTTCATTTTTGTCTGCCGTTTCTTTCTGGTTTGTTTGTAATTATTTCCTTTTGAAGAATGATCCAGTGAAAGTTTCCTAATACTAACAGCTGTGCTATTGCCAATATGTTACAAGTTTCTTTTGATATAAATAGAGTATATTACAACAAAATACAATATACCTCTCATAGTGTTCCACCAATAACCTATGTTTATAAACGGGTTAATCAAGGACTTTAAAACTACAGAAAAAGAGACTTATTTTTTTCATTTACGTTGCTCAATAATAAAACACTAATGAAAATAACTAATTTGTATCATCCTCTAAATGTAGAATGTAGAATAAAATAAAGAAGGTATACAGACATTGAAAAATAATTTTCTGAATAAAATTCAAGAACATTTAAAATATTTGATTAACTTTTCCATTGCCTATTTATGAATTTGTTTAACAGAATAATTTACGGTTGTAAAGTTCTTTTATTTTTAACATTTCATATACTTTTGTTAAGTATGTAATATAATGGTAAATGTACTTTTCGTTATATATAATCCTACAGATTCTTCAAGTGATAATTGTTTATATGTTATTTCGAAAGTTGTATTTTCAATTATGAGAAATGTGATCTATGGTTACATATAACATTTTCTATATAGTTTTTTTTATTTCGATTTAATTCTGAGCTGAAGTAAATTTATATTTTACTTATTTTTCATTCTTCCGTAACTCCGAAATATCCATACAGTGCCAAACATCCATTTATAAATCCATATGCCGTCCTATCCTTGACTACTGTTTCCCACTACTTTCCCAATGTCGATATCCTGTTCTAAAAAAACTGTCCGTATCCGAACGTTCCGCCCTTCGTATCCTCACCAAAATACGATATCCTAATAATACTCTACATAATCATTCTAATGATCCCCTTTACTCCAAAACCAAAATTATTCCTCTCCTTGACCGATACCTTTATCTCTCCTTGAAATTTAAATCCAAACAGTCCAATATCGCCTCCCTCTCTAAATTCTGTGCCCCTCGAAACCCAAATATCCTTCCCAAATTTAAATATCCCACATTATCCCTATTCCAATACCTAATGTCTCTCGATTGATACCAACTTGTTTCTACTCTGCTGCTTTTTTTTCTCATTCCTGTATTTTTCATATTAAATTTATTTCCCGGTCGGAAAGACCTCGGTCGATAGCCCAATAAATTATTATTATTATTACTTTCATTAATGTACAAAATAATAATTTTCTGTACTTTTTTTTAATTAATAATATTAATTAACTATAGTAAAATAAGGTATTGCCCTATTAGAGTCTGAATAAATATATAATATCATCTATCATATATATTTTTTCTATCATATACATTTTATTCTTCAAGTAATATAGTTTGACACATTTTAGGTCATTTAAATTTCATGAATATTGTGCTAAATCCGATGAGGGTTTTAAGAACAAAATAAATAATGTAAACGGTGTCAATGTTTTGCCACGAAGGATGAAGAGAGAAGATTAAGAAAGGAAGAACAAACAATTGGAAGTTAGTCCATTACCAAGGAAAGTGCTAATGCGTATTGCAAATATGGATGTGTTTAGTTTTTTTTTTTCGAAATAAGTACGCAGTTATAAACTGCCTTCGTAGCAAAAAAATATAACGTTTATTAAAGATATGTTTCAAAACAGAATTAATGATATACATTTATGCAAGCAACTTCGATTAAATAATAAACGCAATTAATTTAGATCCGGTTGATCAATTGCCAAGAATTTAAGTTTATATCATAATTAGTTCACACATAAAAAAATGTTATAAATAATACAATAGTCTTACCTTAAATATATTATCTAAGTATATAGTTAATAAAATTAGTAGAGCTCAAATTATTTAGATTTTTATTTCACTCTATTTTTCTTTATTTTTTTTTCAAAACCAGGCATTATTATAACAGTCACAGTATATAAACAAATAAAAATTAAATCATATTCTTATACTCACAATAATAATAAAAACATCTATTTTGACCATAGGTATTTTTGCTCTCTTATTTGTATTGTATTAACTATGTCTGATTTCCATACAGCAAATTATATTCCAAGTAGCATACATATGTGATTTATTACATGTTCTTTAATTATGATCGCGCATGTTATGAATAGTTATTCTATTTTCTGTGTAGTTATGTTGAATTTCTGAATGTTTTTCGTCGATGAACAAGAATTTCAATATACAGGCATGCTTCGATTAAACATAATTTCGTTTTAAAATTTGAAAATTTTGGGTTGGTAAGAAATAAATTTTAGTTTTCACACATAAATAGCGCTATGTTGGAAAAGACTTCTGTAATTGTTATATTTTTCCTTTTGTTATTTGAAATACGTTTCCTTTACTTTACTTCATAAAGAAATTGTAAATAACTTGTGCTTTTTTATCTGCCTATACGCAGTATTTTTTTTAAATATCATTGACAGCTTGGGTTAGTTACATTTTTCGGAAGAACATTCTTTCACTTTGTCTTAATTGTTACTAAGAAGGTTTTTTAAATCTTTATTTCTAATTTCTTTAATGTTATTTTCTTCTTCTAGGCCATATTTAAGCATTTCTTATCAACTTCTTACTATAAATGGTTTCAATTGTATTTTTAATGGTGTAACAAAAAATAGCATTCTCAACATTTATTATTGATAATTCCGATTAGCTTAAAAACTAAATTGGTTAACAAACCAATCAGAAATTGAAGACTTCGTTATATTGAAACTTCATTATCAGATGTAACGTTAACCTAAGTATGACTGTATAACTTTCTTCTATTGAAGATTTTTATCTGTGTTTTTATTATTACCGTTTGATAAATAATTTTAAAAGGAAAATAATCAAAATATACAGATTACCATTTAAAATGATCAAAAATGTGTTTTTGTTTTTGTATATAAATTCAAAGATATTATTTTTTTAAAGCAAATAATAGCGATGTTTTAACGTTCCACGGATAACCGGTGATTTACTGTCTTTGATAATATTTAAAATAGAAAAACTTAAGATTTTCGTTTAGCATAGCATAACACATGGTAAGAATGATTTATTTTTACTCTTTGTAAAAAAGTTAATCATAATATTTTTGTTGTATGGAGCGTAACATTTATATTGTTGTAAACTATGCAAAGTATTTGAACTTGCATAATGCAGAAAAATATTTACATTAGCACGTGGCTTGTGACTGGAAAATAAGTTATTTATAGAAATATAAATAAATTAATAAACAAATAAATGTGCATGTTGCAAGTAAAGAAACTGAAACATCAATCCGAGTTTGTGGAATTTTGTTATGAAAGCAACAAAAAAAATAATAATAACAACGTTAAGTAATCACATTAACCCAAATGCATCGATAAATTCGATAACGACACATGCGAACAATGTCACAGGAGTTTATAAATAGAATTCAGTTTAAACAATGAATAAGTTAATTACGTCTCGACATCAAATGGATATTAATTAAGTCCACGCCCTGGCGCGATGTGTATGGATATGATATAACAATTTCCTGATCAAATTCCTTCCTGCCGAAATCCCTAATAGGAAACTAATGTCGAACATGGCAAATACCTCCGTAATTATCCTGGTCATTGCCGTCCATCACCATCAGTGAAAGAGTGCTCGTTATTATCAAACTAATTCTATGCTAAATGACTGAAAGCTTAATAAAGGAAATTACGTTCCAACTATTCCCTGCGGATACTTTGTTTTAATTGCACGTACTGCAACGAATAGAACAAGAAAAAAAGTTTAGCATGGAAAAATTATTACGCAAGTTAATTTAGTTTTATCCACATGGGAGAAGAATTATGTGATGTGAAATAAAATTTTGCAGCTTGCGTAATTACCTTTGACATTACATCACACAACGCGTCTGCAGCCATTGGCTTCATTTATATTCGCGGTTCTGTGGGAAAACAAATGCATTTCCATGTAACGTTACAGATGCAAAAAAAAATGTTTATATGGAGCATCTCGATTTCACTTGAAACGAATCCTTTTTTTATTCCTTGTTTTTTTGTTGTTGTTGTTACTGTTTCAGTGCCGTTGTTTGCTCACGCTTGTGTGCGTGTTAAAGAGGTCAGCGATTTTGTATGTATGGTAAACAATGACAATTTTATCGTGGACGAACGTAAATGTATGGTGTATTTCAAAACCCGTATTAATTACTGGGAATGACTCAAGGATCCATTCCTCTGCGCCTTTACCTTTTCCAGTTTACCTTTAATGGACACGCCGCAAATAATTATTTTAATAATAACATTAAGTCGTCGCTTATCGTAGCATTGAAACGGCCTATGCAGAATGCTATAAATAGAGTCCCTTCACGTTTAGTTATAGTAAACAGAATGTTTAAATTTCAATTTAGTTCAATTTAAATGCACGCTCTGCATTCTTCACAGTTTTTCAAATACGGTTAATTAATTGATTTTGAATTGGATTCAAATGTATTGACCGGAAAATTGTTCTATTTGTTTTCGATAATCGACGCGACAACCAGATGCTCATTCTAAACAATAACAAATTGCCAGTTTGTAACACTTAATTCATAACAGTTCGCTGATAATGAAAAGTATTTAAGTATTTTACATTTTGAAAAATCCTGTGACAAAAAGTACATTAATTTACAGTTAATATTTAAAGTTACTATTAGATGCTAAACAGTTAGTAGGGTAATTCATGAAGATAAAAAAATATATAATATTAAACAATTTTATAACTAAGTTTGACGTATATTATGTAATTTTTCATTGTAATTATAAAAATAAACATTTAAAGTTTAATGCATTCCGTAAAGATGACATTGATAATGTCATTTATATCATACTCAATGCCTTTGCCATTATTAAGTATTTGCTTCAAATAATTTCCAATTATAGGACCAATTTGATTTGAGTTATTGTTGATGAAAGTATTCAATACCTCGCTGATCAAAGAGCCCAATATTCCGTCGAAATGAAACTTTGAAAATATAGTTATTATTAATTAAATAAAAATTGTATGTCAATAGTTTTTTTATAACTTACATCCACATTGCCAACTGTAGGACTGATTTGGAAATTTTCAACTTTAATATTCCCAATTTGCCGATCAGCTGTGATGTTAAGTAACACAACTAAATCAACAATAATTGCATTTACATTTCCATTTCCAATTGTGGGAAACCCATTTATATGTGCATTCACATTGTAATCAGCATCAATGCTTAAACTCGGTTCTATCACTTTAAATTTCAGCGTTAACTCATTTCCTTTAATGCTGATATCGACATCTTCTAAATTAAAATCGTAAAATCCTCGAAGCAATAAGTTTTTAAGGTCTAGAGCACCACTGTAACATTTTAGAAATAACATGAAAATATATATACAAAGTTTAGTGTATCAATTATAAGTACCTGACTAACTCAATTTCGAAAGCATCTAAATCTATACTTAATTCACTTTTTAGTGGATCCAAAATCGGTATGCCAAATTCTGGCGACCCATTTTGTATTATATTTCTAAAGCAATTTGAAATATCATTGATATCCAATAATTCCTGACATATAACCTGTTGGCTGAGAACAGCGCAACAAAGAGCGATTACTAGCAGCTTCATCTTAATCACTTTTCTTTTTTTTTCTTAAAATTAATTTTGATTCACTTTATATAGTATTTTTTTAGGTCGGAAAGAATGTTATCTACCGTGCATATTTCTTTTTATCGCTTGATTGTTGAATTACCTATATTCATATTCATTTTTTATTATGTCATCGTATATTTATTTTACAATCTATTCCTGCCAACATTAATTAAATCTAATGGCGGTTGACAATTATTTTGGTAAACTTTCCAATTAAAGTTATTATCATTATTTTCTTCTTTTTAATTTGTTGGTTGGCTATCGTCTTGTAGGTTAACTTCAGTAGCATATTAATGCTATGCGATTCCACTATTTCCTTTGACTGTGTATTTACTTAACACTGTCATTGTCCAACGACTTCGCTGAACCTCTTTCATTTGTTATGATGGACTTCCTTTAAAACAACAAACTAGAAAAAATCAAATGTTTTTGAATACAACTTAGATGTTATCATAGAAAGTACAAGATATTATTTATAAAACAATATTTGTTAGTTCTAATATCTAAAACATTTTAATATTAAAAATACACTTATTTTATTATTTATATACTTTCTTGAATATAACCAAGTTCTAGCATTACTCAAACATTTTGAGCGACACTTAAAAAAAATGCGACCCCCTGAAGAATAGGTATGTGTAGAAAAACAACCCGGATTCATCTGTTGTCAATTTTTCAGTGTCGTGTTTTTCTACATATATAATTTAACAGTTTTATAGTGTAAAAAACATCACACGACTTGATTAACGTTTACCAATATTTTTAAATTGATTCAAACGTAAACCCTTAAATATCTCGATATATGAAAAAGTGGACTTTCAATAGTAACTCTACTATTAGATACAAAACCAAAAAATAAACGATTTAATATATTAAAAACAGGGCAGAAAGACTTATGGTCAATAGCCCTTTGAAGTAAACGACTTTTTATTTTATTTTTATTATTATATATAAGAATTTATTTTTTATTGTTGCAATAAATATTCTTATTTATATTAAAAAATATTTATTTATTTATATCAAATAATTTATCAATTTGGACCCTTAAAAATATGCTTTCACCTACAATACTGAAGTTACTTCAGCTAGATGTTTCACTAATGCAAATTCTGTCTAACATATTTCCAATATTAAATAAATATAATTGTGAAATATATTTTCAAACAATAACTTTTTCTACAAAGAAATATGAATACAAATTTTGAACATATCCTAAAAATATTATGCAATAATATATTATATCATCGATTTCTGTATAAAGTTTTAACGTTGAAATTAAATGAATTAGTTGTTAACTATTTCTTACTTAATTTCTTTTCTAAATTGTGCTTAATAAAAAATAATCTATAGTGAAAGACGCTTTAATTCATGCACATTAAACATAAGCATTAAAATGTTAGGCATTAATGTTATGTAATTTAAATAATAAAACAGTAAATATTCATGAGATAATTAATAATAAGTATAATTTATGTAAAGGGCTATTGACCGCAGACTTTCCTTCCAACAATTAATAATTGTCTATATGTGTTCCATTTCACCTTTCAATTAAAATTAATTGATAAAAAATACTTTATTTAAACACTACAAATTATGATTACTTTTATTATAATACATATGTGCATATTTAGTTGCATAATTCGCACATACGTGTAGAAACCAATTTTGTTCTAAAATTTAATAGCATTAAAATAATAGGATCATATTTTTTATAAAAAAATATATTTAAATGTATTTATTTTTTTTAATATTCCCAATTTCATGTAATTTATTTGGTTGGTCATTGTTTGTTATGGTTGCTAAGCATTGGCAGCAATTCATGCAGCCGTCAAAATTTGAAAAATTTGTATCAAATACAAACATATTTATGTAGTGTCTAAAATTTTCGTTCATCTCATTAAATTTCTAGTACTTCATCACAGAATAATAAGTATAAAACGATGGACGATCGATTAGAAGAAATAACGCCAGCTCTGAGTTCGCCAACTGGTAGTGTGCTGTCACAGGATGACTTCCATAGGCTTCTTTATGATTATTTTGAGGATAAAGGGATTTTGACGGATCTAAGGGCTCACTTGAGGACGCAAATGATAAAAATATTGAAGGACACCTCACTTGGAACTGTGATAACCAACAAGCATAAGGAAATCTCACCAAAGAGTCAAGCTCTGAATTTACTGATAGCAGAGTACATGCTGCAGAAGCAATACCACTATGCCTTGTCAGTATTTACAACTGAGGTACCTTTAGGCCAAATATTTCCAACAATTAATGATGAAATCATGGAGTATCGGTTTCCTGAAAATGATATGTGGGATATATTAGAGACATTGGGAATTATTAAGAATTCAGAACAAGGTAAAACTATTTCCAACAATTATACTAGCACCAATGAAGAATCTCTATTGAACTGCATTCTTAAGACAATGAGCATGAACAAAGAATCAAAAGCTAATTTAAATAAGCTAATTAAAGATAGAACTGAGGCAGATTTACAGAAATTTGTGGAGATACTGCAGATAGCTGAGATATCACCAGAAATCACATTGCAGATTATTGATCACTTGAAGACCCTAATCAAAATTGAGATGCATCAAATTAAGGAGATCAAGAATGATGAGGTGAATAAAATAAAAAAGGACCTAGAAGAAGAATGCAATAAAAAAGTTGAAAAATACAAGAAGAAGTTGGTGCAAGCTGAAAAGAATTTTGAGAAAGAGAAAAAGAAGCTGGATGAGGAGTTAGAAAGTGCAAAATCGAATTTAAAAAATTGCGCACATTCTCTTCAATTCAAATACAAAGATTTGCAGAGCATGGAAGAGTCTCTAAGGGAAAAGGAGAAAAAACTTCTGATGCAAGAGGATATTCTAAACAATAGAGAAAATGAATTAGCAAATCAAAGAGTAGAATTTATTGCTGCTAGCAAAGTAGATAAGAGCCAGCAAACAATGGAGTCTGTAAATATGGAGAATGCAGTTCTGAAGAAGAATGTGCTTCAGTTGCAGGTAAAAGTAAATGACCTGTGTGATCAGAACAGGACCTACTTATCCAGGATCCAAGATTTGGCAGTAAGGACAAGCACATTAATGAGGGAGCTGGAAGACTCGCAGATTAGGGTGCAGGAATTGAATGGCATTCAAAGGAGCCAAGGTTTGTTTCCACCACCACCATCACTTGCAGCTCCATCTCTAACAACCTTAAGTAGTAGAACGAGATATGGAATAGCTTCATATAGTGGAGGTGGTGAAGAAGGTAAAAATTAAATTAAATATTTTTTTTTCTTAATTACAATAAATAATTATTCTCTAATTTCTGTTTTTTCCGTTTATTTTAGGTTCAACAGTAACTCCATATTCTCCAAGACACTTCAACAATCTTTCACATCATAAAGATGTTAAAAAAAGACATGCTAAAAAGAATGAGCATAAAGTAAATAGTAGCTCAGACGAGATTAGCCCAACTGATGCTATTTTAAATGAAGCGAAACAACGTCTGCAAGTACTGGAAAAGGAGAGTGATCAGATAGATAAACACTTCCAGGATTATAACATGAGATCAGCCCAGCCCAGTACGAACAAGATAATGAAGGACTTCCAGATAAACGTAGCCACGATCCGGGACAATCTGTCTAAATTATTCAACAACCCTGGAACATCCGCCAGCCCGACTTTCCAATTCGTTCGGGGCAGCAATGAAAATTTAATGTACAACAAAACGGAAGACAGGATGAAAGTACAAAATTTAATAGCGGATCTGCCGATCAAAACAGCATCCGACTACGAATTCGTCATAAATAAAATAGAACCGGAGAATACAGGTGGAGCGGAATCCGGCCAATCGAGCGCTTTGATTCTAGAGACGTCTCTGTCCGGTGTAGAAATGACCAGTTCAGGAATCAAGAGTGATTCCGAAGAAGATGTAGTGAAAAATGGTAAGTGTAAAGGAAATTAAAATCAATTGTGAAATTGTATTTTAATAAAAGCGAAAGAATATTTTCATTGCTGGTAATTCATTTAGGTGATTTGGAAAACGGATTTGACGTGATTGGTGTGCCTTGCGTTCTAACGTTTCTATTAGTACTATTCATTTGGTATCAAAAGTAACAAACAGAAACTGCACCTTTTATGTATGCATTTTTTTTTTCACATTTATTTCGTAGAAAAATAGACATAATTTACAAAACATGAAAGTTAACAGAAGACCTCAAAGGAATTATTCATTGTTTCATTATTATTTATTTTTGTTGTTTGTTTTTTTATTGTAATAAATTCAAAATGTAACCTGGAGTTGATTTTATTGACGAGCAGCTTTAAAAAACATAAATATATATCTTTGGCTAATTAATATATAACTGAATTTCATTTTTAATGAAACAAACATTCAATGATCAAACACAAATTGCTGCATAATACTTTTCTCTCCATTTACTATAGAGAAACAGTCTTGTCTTTTTTTAATATATAATTTAATTAGGATGTTAGACAATATAAAAAATATATGTCGTGGTAGAACGTATTTACAATTAAAAAAAATAATCTTGTTGCGTATATATATATATGTATAAAACAAGTATTAAAAGGAAATAGTACAAAATAAAAATGAATATATATATATAGAATAAAATGAAAATATACGTTTACAAGTTAAAGCTAACATTGCCTTGCTGATTCTTTATGCTAACCCTAGGCGAGTTAGCACCGGTGATTCGAAGCCAGGATTTGGGCGGGGTGTATGGTGGTGAGGAATCCATCGTAGTCTTGCAGAAAGTCGATTTAATTGGTGTCGATGTCAACATCAACGATGTATTCATGTCTAGTTTGCATTTGGCAACGCTCACATTTCCCCAACTTAATACAAAAAATTAAAACAATGGTCTTCAATTAAATGTTTTGCTACTTACTTATTTCTTTCGCTCTCTTTATACAGGCTGACTGCATTTTGCCAGTTGCATATGTTAGGATAATCTTTATAATTCAATTTGCATTCAACGTAGTTGAGAGCGTTATAAACGGCAGCATCTACTTTTGTTGGAAAGTCTCTGTAACGAAGAAAAGAATTGAGCACAATATTTATAGGAATACTTTTGATATATACCCTTCTATGAATATCTCGATGTCTGGAAGATGAGTCTCATAGTAATTTTCATCATCGTCCGATTTATTATCCAATAAACTTGGCGAAGACGGAGGTGTAAAGTATTCATCGTCTGATGATGATGAATCCGAACTAGCTACCTTCTGATTACTAATGCTCAGAGCTAAAACATAATTGTTGTTTTTAATTCATATAATGACTCAATTAAAACAGTTCTTACCAGTATTATCTTCCTGGAATAATTTCCTAGAGTATTCCTGTTTAAATGGGTTTCGAAACTTTAAACTGTTGGTCCGCTTGTTTCCATGATTCTTTCGGTGTCCTTTATTCTTCCATGCGCACGAGCACGGTTTCATTTCCTTCCAAATTTTCACGCAGTCCTCTTCGCTCTCCACTTCATCCATCATGTAATCCTTGGAAATGAACTCCTGCACATGTTTCAAAATGCACATAGAATGCTGATTCTTCATATGTACTACTGTATTCTGTACGCCCTCATCGTCCGATGAAAAACAATCGTAATTTTTACTGCAAAATTCCATCCACAAGTCCAGCATGTTTTCTAGCAAAGTAAATTTTTTAAGGTTTTGCTTCAAGATCATCTTGATCAGATATGAGAGCCTTGAATGTACCAACTGGAAATCTATGCACCTAAATCTATTATCGTCCATGTAACTTAGCATTAACAATTGCAATTGTTTCACTTGCGTTTCTATCACTTTGCAAGTATCGTATTGTACATTGAGCAGATGTAATATGTCATTTGATATTCTTTTTGCAAATACTTGCAACGATTTATCCAGGCAGAAGAAAGGACTCAAATCACTATGAGTCTCTTGAATCTTATCAAAACCGTTTGACAACCGTCGACTATTATCTTTTATAGAACATGTTTGGAGTGCCCTACATAGCTCCGTCATTGGACTTATGTCAGCAATGCAAGAAGCTTTTGGCGGAGAATTTGTTCCAGACTCATTTACAGGTGACTGTAAACTATTGGACGACAGTGGAGACATTCGATACATATTTGCAGCTTTGTCGGCCAAGTAATTCTCCAGTTGCCTCAATCCTTCCTCAGAAGTAATATCTACGAAGGTGTCCAAAAAAGGCCAGTACTCCTTCCAACCAACAGACATCGTTTTGGCCAAATTATTTCCCCAACGTTCGAGCCCTTTCTCGTGATCACGTAACCGCATATTGGTTATCGAGTCTGATTTATTCAATCTATTAGAAATAACCGATTTACCGAAGTTACCATTGCGCGGCGGCGTTTTCCACATCTTTCTGAATTTATCGGCACCTTCTTTGTTCATCGGACCTGCGTATGCGTGAATCTCTAATCTAGGACTTCTAGGATCTGAGTTTAATTTCTGCAAAACAAATTTAATAAAGAAATAACAATAGTTAACAATTGTTTGAAGAACTATTTCTAAGTAAAATAATTCGTTTATACTTACAGGTGGACTGCAAGGTGAAAATGGTTGACCAATAAGAGGAGGTGCACAATTATCTTCAGATCTTAGGACTGGTACATAATAGTTATATTGTAACAATGCTGATATCTTGTCACTTAAATTTCTTGCATCAGGTCCATCATATCTATCACAAATAATTTGACTTGGCAACTTTCCATGTTTGTTCCTTAGATTTCTGTCACATTGTGAGAAGGACACAAGAACTTCAACACATTTGATAGCACCAAATTTGACAGCAAAATGTAATGGAGTTTCATGGGAACCTTTGTCTGGAGTATTTAAATATAAATCAAGTAGTATTTTGGCTCTTTCCTCTGGGCTCTTGTCATCCACGTATAGTTTTTTAATAAATTTTATGTTTGATATAGTGTTCAAAATTAATTCACACATGTCTCCATTCTTTGATTTTGATGAAACATGAAGTCCATTATATCTTGATCCTTCCTGCAAATGCAACAAATTCAGTTTAATTATATGTTATATTTATTAAGATAAATCACCTGTAGGATTGATGGTGTGTCTCCAGCACCAATTAAATATCTGGGGTTGTCCCATATTGTTTTTTGCACCAAATTGAGATCACCACATTCCATGGCCTTGCGTAGCTTAACTATATTCTGTGGAGTAGGTCCTCTGAACTGACTTGCTTTTTCACCAACACTTTGTACATGCTCTGTCTTTTGAAAGCCACCATCAACACTCATGTTATTGGCTTGTTCATATCCATTAGTGGCAAATTCCACAGCTTCATGATAAAAATTGAAAGCTTTGAATCTAGCCTTCTTGTACTTTTTTACCAACTTCAATGCATCTGTCTTGTCTTCAAAAACTTGCCAGTATTCATCATTATCCTGTATCTGTACATCCACTGGTATATGAACTCCATAATACACAATATTGCCTTCGCCATTGAAGACTTTACTAAACTCTGTATTGGAAACATTTTTATCTGGCGTGTCCATTTTTTTGTGAAATTGTTGCTATTCTAGGTTATATGCGAGCACTTCCAGGAACTTGAATTGCGCACAAAACTTGTTCATAGGTAAACCCTACTCGAACCATTTGCCTGAATGTAAAAATGCATACAAAAATATTTTAAAATATGACCCAGTGTTTTAGAAAACAATGGCAAAACATAGGTAAATGTTTGAAATTACACGTCAACTGTCATTCAGTAACAAGCTGAGATTCTGACTTATTTGAAAAGAATCCTTCTACACCAGCGCCCTCTTTGCTTCCAATACACACCAAACAATCTTTGGTCCTTAATGTATTGATATAATTAATCTTTCATATTTGATTTTATCCTTAATTAGAACAAATTAACCGAGAAATAGTATTCATTTAAGCAATGAATATTCTGCAACAAAACACTGTAGGTACGAACATACGATTGAAAATCAAAGTACGAAATTATATGAAGGCAAAACTGCGTGAACTATTCAAATGTTTATTTTCGTTTGATCCGTGGAAAATATGGCACCACGTGAATATTTCAAATTCGCCAATGACGACACGCGTGGCCACGAGTTACTTAATGTTTTCATTATATTTTTGGATAGTTTACTTGGCAAATTGTCAATTCTGGTGGTTATCGCCTTGACGTTATTTAAAATGCAGTAGAAATAAATAACAAGTTTATTCAACTATAATATAAAAGTATACATATATATATTTTTGTTCTCAATTTAATCGCGCAATAAAAACAAGTTTGGATAAAAGCGTAGGCCTTCTATGGAATCATCTCTGCAAGATTTGCCGCAACGCTCAGACGACAGCAACCGCTCTTTGGCTAGAATTACCGATATTCCCAAGAATTGAGCTAATTCTTCGGCATTCAAAGATCCTCTCTCCGTTAACTGGAATTAAAATCATTATTAACATTTATGCACAAGTTAAATAAATATTAAATTATAAATATATACCAATTCTGCTGTTCCTTCAGCAACAATTTCACTGTCAAGGCAAGCCAGTTGAAGGACTTTTACACCAGAGTCAAATACATGTAGTTTTAATGGCAGATCCATATTCTGCATCAAATTACAAGCATTCAAAACGTCTTCAGGAGACAACAATTCTAAACCTCTGGCTCTATTGACTCTGCAATAAATATCTGTCAGAACCATCATTCCTCCAATCTCCTCAATGGGATCCACCATTATATCACAAATTTGCTTAGCTAAACTTCTATAATACTGATTATCCGATTTAAATGCATCTCTTGTTACAGGGTCATCTATACCCAAACTCATCAAATACGATTTGAAACGCACTGTCTCGTCCTCAGTTATATCGCCTTGCTTTTCCTTAAAAATAAAACTTATGAATATACTATGGTAAAAAAAACAATTTTCCGTTTGGCCTACTCGTATTTTCGTGGAGATATTTTGAGAAAGTCTAACCATGTCCTTGGCCATTGTCATCAGTTTGCTCAAATCTTGAAATGCAACATTGATACTTTCATCTGCAGCTTTTTGTTTTTCAATTAAACTTCGTTCAATGCCAATTATGCCTGTTCTTAGTTTAATATTTGGCATTGGTTTTTCTTCAATTGCGCTTGTTGTTGGAGTCTCAATCATTTCCCATCTTCTTTTGTTTATACTTTCTATCAAAGCAATACTAATCTGTTGTGAATAGCCATCTCGAAATGATATTTTGACAAAATTATAAATGCTGTTAAGTTGTGGACCTTCATTGCGATCTATAATAGGGAGTATTATTTAAAAATATTATTTGTGATAACGAATTTGTGTACCTGGTGATGGTTCTTTCAAATAAAGAACAATTTTTTTACTTTTGCTAAAGCTGAATGTTCCTGGCACTTCTTCATCAAGTCTTATTATTAATTGAATAGGCAATGCAAGGCAAATTTGGCCATTTGCAAAATGACCAGGTTTTCCCCAAAATATTCTGTGGGTTGTTATATGGACCATTCCTCCCTCGAAATTAGTCTAAAAGTGTAACTACATTATAAAGATATGAATAAGTATTCTCAAATGTACCTTTTGATCACCATCATATAATTTCGCATTATTTTCTTTAACTAAGAAATACTCATTAGGGCTTAAGGCAGGTTCGGTATATTCAAAACGATTCATCTTGAAATATTAGCCCAAGTATTAACCACAACAACAGAATTTGACTGACATAACGAAATCAGCTGCTAAATAATTATAGGCAACCAAGGATAAAAAGTTAGGCAACACACAATTACATTTATTTTTACTACATATATTTAAAATGTAAAAATCTAAATACATCTGTTCTATATAATATTTGTGTATAATTTAAAATAACATAATATTTCAAAACAACTTGCTATTACTAACTTCATTACATAACTTTAAGGAATATTAGATAATATACATTGAAAGTTTAGTTATGAAAATTGTTTATGTTCTTTTAAATCTATTGCTTTTAAAGATCACTTTCAGTAGTTATGTGCTAAGATTATTTAACTTTTCATTTTTTTTTCAATGATAAGAAAGACAGTTGTTCATTACTTCTTAGAATCAGTCATTTGTGCAGCCAAATCTGCAAATTTTGCAGTATAATCCAAACTACTTTCAGTAAGTAGAGATTGTAATTGTGCATCCACCTAAAATTTATCATTATAAGTAAATAACAAAATCACTTAAGAAATTTAAATAAACTGACATCCTGGGTGAGTCCTAAGCGGGAATCATCGTTGGTTATTGTTGATGTTGATTGGGTTGCCTTCATTGGAGATTCCAAGTGACCCAAAAAACTACTGAAAGAAAAGTCTGCAACTTCAGAATTTAACCATTGATTCTCATTTTCTTTCAATATTCTTGAAGGACTAGTCGGAGGAGTTGAAGTGGCTATATTATTTTCAGATAAAATTCCTAAACGATGTAAATTATTAGTTTTTTTTTTAAATATATAAATTTATACAAAAATTACCAACAAAACTTGTAATGTTTTCCTTGACACCACCATTGGATACGTGAGACTGCAAAGCTAGATCTAACAAGTTAGATATACTTGTTGGCGATCCTACCCTACTCGGTGTCGTTGCATTGTCCATAATATGTTCGGAATTAATGTTATTTTCTTCTAACGATGATATGGCATAAGTCCCTGTGATTTGATTGCTGGTCACAGCTACTGGTGTTAGGGTAGCCTCAACGAACGTGGAATTACATTCGTTTAATAGAACGCTGTTTTCAATTTGCGGCACAATTTTCGGAGCTATTTGTCGTGGCATCGTTATGTCCTGGGAAATAATATTCATTTGTACAATCTGACGACCACTATCTGCTTTATTCGCCAGTAAAGGTAATTTCCTTTCGACAACGACCTGCTTTGAACGAGGACGTCGGCCTTTTCGATTGCAATATCGTGGTCTTAACTTCTGAATAGACTAAAAAAAATAAAATATTTATAAGTTAAATTTAAAAAAATAATTCAATCTTACATCTATTTGCGCCCTTAAATTATCATTTGGCGAAATAGGCCTTCGGAATATAGTTGGAGGAAACTTCTTTGGCTGTATAATAATTGGAACCATACTAGCTGTAGTAGTTACATTACTTGGCTGTAGATTAATGACTGTTGTGGTTTGTACAATTTTTGGAGGCTCAATTCGTTGAGTTGATGATTCAGTGTTGACAACAGGATTCTTCCGTACGGTTGGTTTAGTTTTTGTACCGTTTCCTTTATTAGGAGCACCACATACATGACCGCATGGACATTTGACAATATTCTTTCGGTAATGCAACTTCGCAATCGATAATAGTCTCTTCAAAGTCACCGATAATTCGTCCGGCTTGTGATTTAATCTTTCGTAATTATTGCAGTTATCTGAATTGTCACTTTCTATCACAGTTTCATTGTCAACAGTCTCATTAATAGACTCCTCCTCTTTTATTAATTGAATCCCCTCCTGTTCATCCCAACTGTACACCAAACAAACCATGGAATCTGATCCAAACTAAAATTTTAAAAGTTTAAATTACATTTTACTAAAGATAACAGAAATATAATTATTTTATTCAAATTACCATTAAATATAAATCTCCGACGGTTAAAGTCCCACAATCTTCCATAGTCCAACCTAATTTAATCTTAGCAATATCATGTTCCTTTTTTACTTGCAATAAACAGTCTTCTTCCATTTTAATATCATCGGGTTTTTTCTCTTCTACAATTTCCATATTTTCTGCAGGATTTTGTAACGCCAAAATAGTATTTACTGCTTCATCAATTAAGTCATTCACTTTAGCTCCAGGTAGCTCGTTTTCTACCAAGCAATTCTCGTTGTTATCGATAATGCTTGATGATGATTTGGGAATCTGCTTTTCATTTACACTATTCGTACGACATCGTTTTACACCCCTACGTAAAGAACCTAAAGTGTACAACTATAAACATATTTTTTTAGAAACAAAACGTGTATCATACCTCGACTCAAAGCATTCTTAAAACTGGGGTAAGCATCTAACCAGAGTTTCTCACCAGACGTTTTTGCTCCAATGCGTTCTTCATAGGCATTCAGACAGATATTTTCAGTAGTCATATATTCCGTTACACTAATCGTCGGTATTGTAATATTAACGTCTGAAGGAGGTTGAAATCTAAGGAAAGGATCAGTTCTGGGTTTTGTATTTTCTAATATTTTGTCACTTGGGTCATCTAGTGGAATTGATTCAGCTTCAGCTAGTAATTTTTCGTGCTAAACAACAATTAATAAAACAAATACACATTAAAAACACAAATATTAAAGTTTTTTTTGTTAAAATACCTCATAAACCTCTTGTGTTTTCCATCTTTCAGTCAAATGTGTAAAAATCGTTCCCAGTCGTTTTTGCAATGGCATTATTGTTTTAACTCTTGGATTCTGTGACATTTCTTGAACTTTCATCCATGTGTGCATATCTTTGGGCTTTAACTCTATGCATATTCTATTTGGCAGTTTTATTAATTCATCACCTCCATTTTCTATAAATAATTGGATTTGTTTTATATTCATTATATTCTTTTCATTTAATTACCATCAAGTTGATTCAGTCTCCTCAATGCTTTGCACATGGGTGTTCTAATCCGAATTGTTTTTCCTTTTACTCTCATATTCAAAGAGCCTCTGTAAATTAATTCATTCAATCTGATTGAGGTCTTTTCACTTATCAATGTCAATTTTTTCCTTAGCTCACCAAAGTTTATAAGACAATACAGTTCTTGAGCAAGCTTCTTTACATCTGAAAGCAGATAGATAATATATACATGCAAACAAGAAAATTTTGTGATTAGTACCTGAAGAGAACTTCAAATGCTTTGATGCTTTATGCCATATTCGATAATACAAATGTCTAACCTGTTCCCTAGTCTTGATCATATATTCTGGAACACCTCTCTTTTTCAATTTATTACTAATGGAAGTGTGAATGGCATCAAAGTCTTTTCCATATTCATTCAAAGCCTCGAAGAATAAGGTTTTATCTTCATGTGACCAGAGTGGACCTCTCAGTGGAGGTTTTTTCATTTCAGGTTTCATCTCCTCTTTCTTAGTATCCTCTTTTTTCTCTTCTATAAATCGAATATATAAATTTGAAAACTCATAATATATAGTTTGAAATCAAGCACCTTTTTTATCAGTTGGTCCTAGAGCTGCTAATTCTGAATCCAATTTCATTTTCTTAAACACCCTAGCACTTGTCCTCAATTGCAAACTCTTCATTTCAGACCCCACACTGTTGTAGGTTGTCACAGATCCAAGCAATTCCTCAATTGGAATTGATGGATCAATGAGAACCTTTTTTGATACCTCTGGTGTATTCATGATTCTATAATCAATCTGAAAATCAATGATTTGGTATTATTGTTTGAAATTTTTTGAAAAAGTCCATTATATTGTAATTTTTAAAAGAAATAAACATATTTATAGAGATAACATAATTGCATTACATAAACACAGCTATGTTTTGCAAAGAAAAATAATTTGGATATAGGTTTTCTTGTTATTGCTTTCTCATATCACATCTCTTACTTATTGAAGTGGTAATGGAAGGGAGAAATTCATAATAACGAGTTATTAGTGATTTCTCAAATGTATTATAAACTTTATAGTTTTGTTCAATGGTATTGTAGCAGTATGGACTTTTCAAAATTTAAATTAATATCAAATATGAAAAAATAAATTGAATTGAAAAATGAAAGGTTAATAGAGTTCAACGCTCCTTTGGCAATGTAAAATCTTCACTTAATTTACCACTTTACGGGTAAAGCTAGGTTAGGAAAAGCATAATAAACAAATATTATCAAGTATCCTGGATACATTCCTGTTGAATTGGCATATAAATATACAGGAATTAATGTGATAAAGTTAAAAAGAAAATCTGTACAATTACGATTTTGCAAATGGCGATGTATTCTAGGGACGTATTTCTACGAAGATTTACTGGTTTATGCACTAACAAAATTCTACGTACCGTATATGGATAGAAAGCGAATCTTCTGTAGAATAATCTCCTGGGAATTAAACAAATTCACTTTTCCGTATCATTTTATACACATAATTATATCCATGGTAAACACAAGCTTCGTCACGAATCTTTACCGAGTGTTCCGTGGTAGTACCAACCGGTAAAATGTCAAAACCGTCGGATGGAGATAGCTAATGTTTAGCTCTATTTTACCACCGCAAATATCATTTAATGATTCATGTCGAAGCCTTTAAACTTACGAGCATACTCTTTCCATTGGAAATTGATTTACACCAATGGAAAGCGAGCCCAAAATAAATAAATAAACCATATGGAAGATTCTTTTCAATTTTCTAACGTTGCGCATATTACCAATGATTACAGAAATATATAAAAATACATATTATTAATCATTATAAACATGTTGACAACTTTCTTATTAACTAATTTCTATTATGTTTTATATTAATTCTTCAAAAAATTGTATATGTAAATGTAATCAAAAGCTATTGCTTTAGTCTGAAGGAATTACTTGTTCCGAAATCTACAATGAACGCATATAATTAACAAGGCTATTAAAAAGTAATTAAAATGGTCTTTATCGTATCACGAATTATAACAATATATGGTAAAAGTATTATTATTATATTTTGATATATTTCCAAAAAATGTGCCCGGTTAATAATACAAATAAATGATGTTCCATACAGTTTTTTCCATGTTTATACAATTTATTTTGTTACATTTACTTTTATGACAGTAATGTTGACATGAATATATACTTTTACAATAGGTTACTTTAGGTATGATTGTTATATAACACCTATTTAATGATAATGATTCCATAATTATAATTATGATAATTAATGTAACCTAATGATCATGTATTTTTTTTAAATTTGCTGCGTTTCTAAAAGGATTCATTCATTTTTCTCAGAAATTCCATATCCACATTATGAGCTAATCATATCATTCCTAGTAAACACATTCCTAGTTCAGCTATAAATGTATATTTTTTTAAATTTTTACCTTTTTTTAATATTCTTTTCATATATCTGATCAAATTAATTCTTTCTAATTTTCCTATTAATTAATATTTACTATTTCACTGCAATATTAAAAAAAAACTACATTATTCTAACATTTCATTAATTTGATAGTTTTCGCATCACGCAGTGTTGCTAAAAACTTGTAACATCTGCGATTGTCAGGACGAATATCATCTTCCTCTCAGTATGTTAGTATATTTTTTATGTAAGCGTCAGGGTTGCTGGGTAGAAATGCGCATGACCCTTGACGTATATCATTCAATCCGTATTGAATAACACATACAGTGCTAAAATTGTAACGTCATAGAAATGGGGCAATTAACCCTTAACGTATAGTTGATGATTTTTAGAATAAAAGCGCCTACCTATAAATTTCGACTACATTATGTAATAAATCCATGAAGGTCATAAGGAAACCTTATATATCATAACAATGATTTAAAAAATACCCTGTAGGAGTACCTGCAGAGCGAGTACTATGGCCTACTTCGCTATACCTGCCCAATCAATTATATTACAGTTCCACAAGATGTTGTCTTAGTATAAAATGAAGTTGATATGTTAACTTTTAATAATAAAATAATAAATAATATCAATACAAATGACCATTGACGACATTTTATGCATTAATACTAAATAATCTTAAGCTGCAAATTGTATTCCTATTCGCAAATATTTAATTAATATTTTTCAATAATTAAACAACGCGTGTCGTTTATTCATACAATTCCATACTCGTGATTGATTGGCAATATGAACGTGATATATTTTGTTCATTTTCTTGTTAAAATAGATTCCAAAAAAGCTAAGTTTTTATATACTAATATAAAATGTCATAAAAAATAATTGTTTCATTTTGAAAAAGGTAAAAATGGTCATTTTAGATTAACATAGTGATTAAAAATATGTATACTGCAATTTAAAATAACTACAATGTAAAAGTGATAAGTTAATAACTTACAAATATACAAAATAGTAAATGTGAATTAAATACACTAATACCTAGCCATCAGTTTTACATAAAATAATAAACCGGACTGGTTACAGTAACCAACATTAACATAATCACTTTGAAGGCACACGCATTATTAAGACACGCACTCACGAACTGCTTATTAGAAAAACTTCAATCTTCGGTGATGGTTCTCTATGTCTAAGCAAAGGGGTTTGGATGAATATCCAGCCGGTGTTTTGTAATTAATGCTGACTTTACTTATCTCTTCCTTAACTAATCTAATACCTAAATGAATACAAGTTTATAGGAAATCAGAACTATAAAACTGTAAGCTATAATACAATATAATAAATTTCTAAACACAAAAATAAATAAAACTAAAAGTTTAAAACTATATACAATAATAATGCAAGAAAAAAATAAACTACAACGATTAAATTATAAATTAATATTAATAAAAAAATATTAATAAACGCAAACAAAAGACAACAATTATAAATAAATACATTTAACTACAGGAAAAATAGACATTTTTCAATTATGAATAGAGTTTTAATTGAAATCGTTTAATACATTTTTTTATTATATTATCCTATTGCACTTTGTTCGCTGAGGTTGTTATTTTGTTGCTAGGGTAACTGAGGGATAGAAGTCCTTTGAAATTCATTGTGTGCACGTGACATGCAACGATTTTGTTTGGTTTACTGAAACACACATGTTGAGCCATTCCTACATTACTCTGTCGTCGGCAAATGTTGCAACTATTGTGTTTACCGTATGGAATACGCACAAAAAGGAACTTCATACAATTCCCTATAGGACATTATTTGATTGTATACTGGGAATTGTTAATATGTTTATAGATGTTTAGTAATATCAATTCTAATTGAAATAGTAAACTCTGTATAGATATGATATAGAGTAGAACAATAGCAATGAATACTTAATTGTATTAACAATCAATCGGATTTCCAATGATTAGTTTATTACATCTCAAAGTATCTTCAATTGACAAAAATATCAGCATTTTTAACAAGTAACAACAATGAAGTTCACTAAGTTGATTATAGTAAATATGAAATAGAAACATAACTTTCGAACAATATCATTTACGTTATATAGTATCGATAATATATAATTATTTCATGTATTTCTAAATAGTTTGAAAGGAATAAGGGAAAATAAGTCAGTTTTATTATAGTCAACATTTTAATAAAACACAACAAATATTAAACACATGTAGCAAATAAGTAACATAGCAAATAAGTAGCAAATAAGTAAATAAACGTAACATAATAAAGGTAATAAGAACATAAATATTTTTCTATTTAAACATTAAAACTAATTATAAAAATGATTCTAAACGAGTGGTTTAAATTCTCTTCGCAATGAGATATTTTTAAAGCATTCTGGCAACTGCTTGTAATAGCTCATATTAAACTGGGAAGTATACAATTTATTTATCAATAATTTTAAATGGCTAACCATTTCACGGTACAATTTATTTTTTCGTCGTTCTAACACGACTAAGAAAGCGAAGTAAGCGATTTTCTCTTTAACTCGCCTCGGAATAGATGGTATCAACTTTTTTGAATAGTAATGGACCGTGGAGAATATGTGTCTTTCGAAATGTTCGCTTTTATAACTCATGGACGGCTTCCCCAAAGAGATTCCCATTATCATGGCATCAAATTTAAAGGCCAACAAAACCATTGCTTCGTAGTAATTTCGCAAAATCGTCTGGTCATTGTTATAACTCGTATTAAGCGCCGTCGCGTTAAAATTATTATTGTTGTAGGCAAAAAATAGCGATTTTGTTAATAGTCCCAATTGCGACAATTGTGCGTTAACGTTCCACAATTTGTATTTGCAATGGATATGTGTGTCCTTAGGAAATCTGTAGTAATTCGATACGTGCCTGTGGTTTAAATTTATTTTAAAATTACAATACGTTATGGTGATTCGATTGTCTTCTATCTTAGTTGTATTGATCATTGCGTACGAGGTTAAAATCTGTTTGAAATTAGCAACGTCTTCTTCTTTGGTGGAACAGAAGAAATAGTCATCTACAGTTTTATGCAGGAAGCAGTTGGTTTTATTAAATTCTCTCAAGTTTACACTGTCCAGTTTGGCAAAATACACCTCGCACAATCCTGATGAAAATCGATCGCCTTGCAGCAGACCTCTTTTCCACAGCCACAACCTATTGCCGAACATGACGTATTGGTGTTTTACATAAAATTTGAGTTTCTCTTTCATATTTTTCGAAAGATATTTAACGTCAGCATCATTCAAGATATCGATTAAGATGTCTACACTTATGTTAGAAAAACAATCCATTAAGTCCAATTTTGTAGCAAAAAGTTTGGAATCTCCGACTATCCTTATATATTTCTGCCAGTGTTTCCCAAAATGAGTTCTTTTTACGAAAGTTAGAGACTCGGCGTATTGGTATAAGGATTTCGTGACAGTTTTCTTATAAATAGTACTCATTACATTCAATTTTGAGTTAAATACAACATAAGGTCTAAAATCTATTATATTTGTTAGATCACCTCTCGGCCTAATATACAAAACTCCTCTGGGCTTCACTACAAGCTTTCGCTCAACAGCCACTATACTCTTACTTTTAACTAAAAAATTTCGCACTTTTGCTAGGTAGTTGCTCCATTTGACTCTCTCCGCAAAGCGTATTTCGTAATATTGACCCATGCGTACTGGATGAAACATTTTATTAAACGTGGGATATACAATAATTTCTATCAAAACTCTTAATCCCATATGTAACATAGCTTTCCTCTTGTTCGGAATGACGTCGTGCAACCAATCTATAGCGTTTGGATCATATCCTGAAGAAATAGATTGAGTCAAAACACACTCGTGAGTCGCTCTTGTAGCAATAATCGTTAATAAATTGTAAAACATGTCGTTATTCAGTTGTGATCCAAACAATTCGAATGGAATTATGCGCTTGTAAAATTTAATCAAATCATCTTGATTCATTATCTTGATTGTATGTTTGAAACGAAATATTTCTTTACATTTAACTTTCATTCGTTTCATAATCAGTTTGAATTTTATTGGCAACACTTTTATATTAATATGTTGCTTAATATGTTTCTGTTGTTTCAGAGGAAAGTAGATATTCTTAACTTTCATTTGCAGTATTTCTTTTGCGGATTTTTCTTTCACCACATACAATCCCTTCGTCATCGAATTTAACATCATGGAAACCGAATAACCTGTACACGTTAATCCATTTTATTCCAAATAAAATAAATGATATTGACTTAATTACCTTAACTAGTGTTGAAAATTCACTTGCCGATTATATAGTATTTAATGTATTAAATAAAAAATACGTATTTGTAGTCATACAATGAATTGTAAAGAAATGTAAAATACGTTTGATGTATCAAATACACAACTAGGTTGTTGAGATCATTTTTTCCGCGCTTCCATTTAAATTTCGTAACGGACTTTTACCCAAAAAAAAATTCAAAAAACAGTCAATAACTGACTAAATTTGTATTCATAGCAATGCATATTTATAATACATTTATTTTCATAATACCGTATATATTTTATTTTAAATTGACCAACAAAAAATGCAGTTGCTATGCAGGCACGTTTAAAGTAATATAACATATATGTTCCACAATACAAGTAGATATTTTGGAAAATATAACAAACTCTCCTTATACATAATTTTTATTTCACATTGGTTTCATTGTGCCAATTGATTTAACATATGTGGAAATGCTTAGTCAGGAATATCAAATATTGACATTGAAACTCAAATAACGAAAACACCGTGGTTGATGGACCTGGGTAATAAAAATAATGATTCCGCATAAAGGTCAAGTGCTTTTTTCGTCTATTACAATACGAAGATTGTAGTAGATAATTAAGATTGTATAAATAAATACGTGGTTGTAAGCTTTTCATTTTTACTGTCTGGCCGGATACATTTCTTTATTTTCTTTTTGACTGATAAAAATGTGAAGTATAAAGTCCTCTTATAATGTTTTTCCAACGTCAACAACCACATTACAATTTTCGTGGTTATTTGTTATTACTTTGCAATCAAATGTTTAATTATTCATATAAGACGTTAGTTATGATTCACAATTATATTTTTATCAAAGTATATTTAGTTTCGGACTAATTAAAAGAAACAATTATGTAATTTGTTAAAACCAAAACCATAACATTAACAATTCTTGATAAATATTGTATTTGTATACTCGTAATAATTCATTTAAAAAACTATCCGTTGTATTTTACTGTTGTGTCCAACCATTATTATTATAATTGTTATTGTTAATATAGTGTATTAACGAAGTAGAGACATCCAAAGCATTTCTAAGTCGCATTATTATATAAACATTAGCATAAATGAATCTCTACCGTGATTCCAGTTCGATACACTTCAATATAAACAAAGAGGACCATGCGTAAATATTCCCATCGATACTCCTATACCTTTATACCGAATTCAAGTCCTTATAATAAACACATAAAGATCGTTACATGTACAATCGTAATCGATCATCTTTTTCATATAAACAAATGCATAGGAATTTGTCCCGGTCTTATAATAAACAAAACCACCGAGGCCGATTCCCGTGGGAACGCTTAGTCATCAATATAATCAAACCCTACTCCTGATCACAACTCCTACCCCGTATTAATAAGAATTAACTTTGTAAGTAATATAAGTATTTTAGAATAGGTCTTAGTCAAACTGTCGATTATCTACATTGTCTTGGAAAGGGACCCCAAGAGTACCAATTATAATAAACTTGTTTTAAACCAATTGAATTATTTAATTCCCAACTCCACAACGATAACACCAGACAATATTCCACTGTGTCCCGAAATCAATCCATTACATTCAATTTAAACATTTCCCTTGCAATTTGTTGCAAATATATTCGAAATCAGAGATAGATAATCTTTGGATTATCAAGACTTAATAAAATCGTACTATATTATTAGCATGGGTCAATATCGCAAGCGCGACAACCGAAAGACAATCTATTGAAATCCCGACGTTCGAAATCCTGACTGTATCGAAATCCCGACTATAACAAAATCTCGACAACCATAATCCCGACTGTATCAGAATCTTGACAACCATAATCCCTACTATATCGAAAAATTTTACAATAACATTTTTAAATTATTTCAATAAATTAACAATAATTAACAATAAATTATTATTCATTTATTTTATTTTGTTGAATTATTCATAATAAACCTTAACATTATGAAATAATCTCAAATACAATTAGATTATTAATTGTTATTATTTATTATTAATAATGTTATTGTTGACATTTTCGAAATAGTCGAGATTTTGATAGTCGGGATTATAGTTGTCAGGATTTTAATATAGTCGGGATTTTGATATAGTCGGGATTATGGTTGTCGGGATTTCGATACAGTCGGGATTTCGAACGTCGGGATTTCGATACAGTCAGCATTTCAAAAAGAAAATATAGCCTTTTGGCATAATTGCTTCTTTATATTAACTTTAATTAAGTCATAATAATGTATATTTTTTTAAGGAAGCATCTGGATAGATATATTTGAAAAAAGTTCTGAGGACAAAGTAATGCCAGCGAGGAATTAAATTCAGTACAATGAATGATCAATGAAAATCAGAGATACATTTGAATACAAAATTAATGATTTAATTCGAATTCTATTCATCTATTCATTCCTTAAATTTGAATGAATATTAATATAGAATTAACAAAACTAAGATTTTGTAAAGAATGATAAACGGATATTTGTTGAATAGTAAATTTTAAAGACTATAATTTACTTTCTGTCATCTTAAGAATAAATATAATAATTAATAATTATGTAATAAATAGTTTGAATTGTTTATAATAAATAAATATGTAAATTAAAGTATAATTACTTAAAATCATTAAAAATAATGTTTTAGATTAAATTTTATGAAAACAGATAATTCTTAATTCTTGTAAAACTTGATGTCCTGATTCACTATTGATTGTTAATTATGCAAAATATAAATAAATTCTATAAAATAGTACAGAAAATGATCGATCAAATCTCTTTATGTGCGGTTTATTTCAATTTTATTTGGTTCTTCCATGAGTCCACTTTCAAATAGTCCGTGATATTAGGGGCAATTATTTTTTTTTTAATGAAAACCACACTCAATAGATTTTTTGTTCTTAATGGCTGAATCCTATATATGTATCCTATATCGTTCTAATTTGAATATGTACTCAACATATATAAAATCATTCTCAAACCTATTGGAACTTATTTATGTTCGCTATAACAAATAAAATGTTACATGTGATCCTCCAAGTAGAAGCGTTAAAGAAGCAAATGTGTTAGCTATTAATCTTCGTGACAACTTAACAACCCGACGACTGAAACGATTCTAATCAGATCCTTTGACAATCAATAATTACTATCACCTGCATGTAACTGTTATCAATCTATTTCAATAGTAACATAATTTTATAAAAAAAATAACTATGGCTATAGACCAGAATATTTCAGCCTTCAATAATAATTAACATGAATAAAATTTATGTTTTCAATTTGTAAATATTGAACGGAATGAAATCGTTTGAAATTTTGAACGATTTAGATATAACCAAAGAATATATGGTTTCTTAATAAATTACAAAATATGTAGAAAATCATTTATCAGAACATATTGGCAAATAATGAAACTGAAGGACAACCAAAAGGAAGTCTGCGCTATTTCTATGTATTAATGTCATGGTTGTACCAAAGTTATTGACCATTTTTTTCTTGTCTTTCGAAAGGATATATGTAAATGTTTGTCTAGTGGTGGGTTTGTTCTATGATGATCAAGAATTCAGTTCCGCAGTGGATGCACGTGGGCCACTGCGATCGTCGTGTGCATTTCTGTACTGTTCCATATATTTTTTTTTTGTACTCCCAACATTGAGGAAGCCACGATTTAGGGTTGTAGGCCGTGCGTCCTGTGTTGGTTGTGGTTGGTTGTAGCACCGTTTGCGGTCCATATGTTGGAACATTTTTCGAAAATGCGTGGAGGCCCTAGCATCGATTTTAAAATCGTGCGGTCGCGCATGCGCGTCTCGACAGTTGCTCGTGCTGCTATGTTCACTATTTTGAAATGGACAGATAAGAAAAGTGTAAAGTAGCGAGTTTGACAGTTCGCGAAATATATAGGAGAGAACGGAGAGAAGGTTCTCGCTCGCACAAACAAAAGTGGAATCCTGAAGAAAGGAAAGGAAAAAACGCGCAGTGAAAAAAGTCATTTTTATTTGCGAGTTTCCGTTGCGAACGAGTCACACAAATGTTAAAATGTTTAAGCGTTCGATATCGTGGTTTATTCTTGTTTTTACGCTGCTAGAGTTCGTCGTAAGAACACAGTTAACAGCATACGACAATAGTCATGGTACGATTTTTGCTCGCCAATTCTTATACTACTTCTATCTGTTATCAATTGTTTTCATTCCGGGGCGCCGCTCCGTTCCCGCACTGTCCACTCATTGTCAAGATCACATTCTGTTCGCAGGTTTCATTTCCAACAATCATGACAGGTTTTTGGCCAACGAAATATCTTCTATGCAAGAGGTAAATTTAACACACAATAACATGTTAACGCAAACACACACCATGTATTCTTTATCTAATCAATTATACCACAATCACAATAAGAGAGTGAATTTTTCTAATCGTGGTTTGTTTGTTTACAGGAACTTGCTTCTGATATCAGGTAATAATGGCAAAGCATTATTTAATTTACTATCCAAATCTCATGTTACTCAACATTGCTGCATCAGTTGTTTCCACTATTTATTTATATTTTCGTTTTAGGAGTGCAACATTAAACAAACTCAGCATTAAAATGCAACTGAAATTTGATCCTGAGTTTCTAGACTTCAAACAAAGGTTAAGTACTATATGTTCCTTAAAAAATATATTTCTTTATTATTATCAAACTTCATCTGAGAAGTGCAGACATTGTAATTTCTGTTATCTTTCCAGGCCCTTGGGAATGCCTCATCTTGAGAAGGTGACACTTTACAACATAGACAGAAACCGCAGCATTGATATGACTTCAATTTCTGGCAACACAGTGCACTTTCATAGCTCATTTTTTGAGGATAAGGTGATATTACTAATTTACACCTGTGCTCAACTTTCTAAATGATTCATTCATTCATTTTTAGAAAATACCACCTCTGGGAAATACAACCTTTAGAGTGGTTTTCTTAGGCAGAGAGGAGGGTGCTGTCGAAAGCAACTTATTTATTCACACCACTGAGGGACACTTCAAATACCATGTAACTAAATAGTATATTATAGTATTGAAGGACATAAAACTATTCACATTTATTAATTATTGGACTTCAATTTTATAGTAAATGTATTTAAATTAAGTATCAGTCATGTGTGCTTAACACAAAAGCAATAAGGTATTTTGTAACTTTATATCTATTATATGAATGCACTATTTTTCAATGTTGCATAATTCACTTAGAATATTGCTGAATGATTACATCTTTAAACTTGATGAATGACGCAATTTTCTAATGTTTTACTTGTTGCTTTTTCCAGGTGAAGGGTGCAAGTATCTACAGCCCCTACCGTTTACGTCCAATAGTGGGTGTTAAATTACCAGTTAACGCTTTCTTCTCGCCTCTTATCTACTTATATAACCCGCACTTGGAACCCATACAGGTGAACTCTTGCATATCAAATTTTGGGATTGTCTCATTACTATTGTATTTTCAGATTGTTGAAATTTACAGTAGCGGTGGCGATTTCCATTTAGAACTACCCTCTGGGGAACTAGAAGGCCCCAAGGATATCTGGGAGATACCTCCACTGCAAACCAAAGCTGTAATAAAAGTTTGCTTTTTAGCCAAAGTCGAACAAAACCATACAGCGTTTGTCAGGTAATATATTCGGCTCTAATAGATTTGTAAATTTTTAAATTAAATTATAACTAAATTTCTAGAATTAAATTAAACAACACTAATGATTATCTCGTGGTGCCATTAGAGGTGGAAGTAACTCAACAGGCTATGTTATTTCCGCCGCAAGCGTATGTGGATTTTGGAGTTGGCGGTTCTTTAGACCCAGAAAAGGAAGTCGCTTTAAATCTGAGTAATCCGTTTAAGAAGTCTATTAAGATTCACTCGATTACAACCACTTCAAAAGCTATCAAAATCATATATGATAATGCCAAATTGAGCAGCAGCAAGAAAGCTGATGCCGAGAGTGCAGAAGTTGCAATTTTAAAGTTAAATTGTAATGTTTATTTAATCGTATTTACCATTGACAATAACTTGATTTTTACTTATTTTTTAGGGAAAACTGCGTTTGAGACTTCCGATTTCTCTGGGAAAATTGTTATTAAATACAAGAACAGTAAAATTAAAACTGAAATCCCTTACTATATTTCGGTCGTCGAAGGTGGGCTGAGCGTGAACACTTCGACTACTCGATACTTTATTAGCGATAAGTCCGATAAAGGTGGAAATGTTAGAAAAATAAATGTTAGGAATGATTTCTTGACGCCAATTATGTTAATTAATGTTACGTTATCTGAAGAAGCTCAAAAGTTTTTCCATGTAAGCTTCTTTTATAATCTATCTGTATTTAATTTGTAATTTAAACTGCTTTCAGATTTCAAATTTTATGTCTCAAGTATTGAAAGAAAGGGAGGAGAAGGTGGTTTTCAATTTAAAAATGAATCCTGGTGTAAATTTAGCCGATTTGAAGTTAAACACGCACATTCATGTCGTTACAAATGTGTCGAATTTTCAATTTCCGCTGGTTACTTATAATGGAAAGTTTGATTTGGTAAGTGTTCCTTGTTTCATTTCCCTTTTTATATAGCTTAATTGTAATCCATATGATTCATTAGGAGTTTATAATGAAGCACATATACTATGTATACTCAATAGATTTTGTTATTAAGGGTGGTTTTACATGGTTCTTGCAGAAATTGCCATATAGAAGTAAGGATAACTCATTGGATTTAGGCTTAGTCAGCACTGACAGTCGGAAAGATACTTATATATTATTAGTTAACAATAACCCAGTGTCTATAGCTGTGAAACAGTTGTTAACTTCATTGTCTTCTAGTAGTGTGGAAATTTTAGGATGTGGGAAAGGGGATTTAGACAGAGCGCTTCTGCAAGATACTTATAAAAATATTACTAAATGTGTAAGTAGTCAGTACTATGTGCAGCATGGGGAATAATTCAAAGTTAATTTTGATCAATTTCGCAGATGTCTGTTAAAAGTGGAGAATATGCTGTTTTAAAATTAATCGTTAGAACAGGTAGAATAGAGATGCAGATATGGGGCGATATTACTGTCCATACCCAATACGAGTTGCTGTCCATACCGATGCATTTTAAAGTGGCCCATGGAAAATTGGAAATTGGACCAGATCGATTGGTTTTTGATCAATGTTTCCCCGTATGTTCCTCGCTAAATCCGAAATGTGTGAATCAATTATGAGGCTGTGTTTTTTCAGGGCAAAATTTGCTCTCATCCATTACGTGTTCATTCAACATTTAGTGATCCGATGGTGATCGAAGAGATTTTGAACATACCCCCTGATTCTCGTATAACGAGTAAACATTCGGGCCACATCACTGCCAGGGCAACCAAAATCATAGGACACTTGTATTTGGATCCGACGATGCATTGCATGAATGAATGCTATTTAGGATTCAACGAGGAGCACATGGGTAATTACATTGATTATTTTCTATGTCATGACGATTCTACACGATTTAATTATTATACACGTATTGAGCTTTGTCACGCTATCTTTTATTTATTACAACATATTACATACATTTTGTAAATCGTTTATTTTTTTGTACGTTCATCTTAATTAATTGAAACACAGTGAGGCAGTTTTATAAAAACGCTGCAACTAATAAATTTGAATGTCATGCAATAGTGTTGAGGCACATTTGGTTATTCATTGATTTAACTATTAATTTAATCATTCGATTGTGTTCATATATCATTTAAATGTCGGTGTAATCGTAAATTGAATTCATTGTATATATATATTTTTTTTTAATTATATTAGCAAATTGGTGGAAAACGTGGACCTTAACTAGAGCAACAACAGAATTTGATTTGAATCTAGTCAATACATTGTACAATCGGTACTTGAATCAAACTTGGAATGGTTTGAAGCGCTGGCAGAATTTGACCATGCGTCTGGATACCTCTGAAGTAAAAGGGCACATGTTTAAAACTCGCGTGAAGATGAGTTGGCCTAGTTTGTTGTTGGACCAGACGTTCGAGAACAAAACAAGCTATGTATTCCCACTAACGCAAGTGGGAAACATAACGTACAGGAACATAACATTGAAGAATCCATCGAGTTATGATCTCTTCATACAAGTAATCATTGATCAATTTTATCCAAATTTCGATGTGCTATTTGAGGGTCTGCCTCCAGTTTTTGTATCACCCGGAGTAACTAAGCGATCGAAGCACGGTTTCTTTTTGGAGACAGAAATGGCAAGTACTTGCGACAGTGATATGTTAATGCAAGAGACGTCAATGAATATTCGGCTAAAACCCAATGAGAACTACAGTTTTCGTATTGGATTTAAAGCGCTCGATGCAACAAGTAATTCAGGTTTTGTATTTTTACGAAACAACTTGACTGTTCTCGAAGTGCTTCACCTAAGCGGTAAAGGAGCTTTTCCGAATTTCAAATTCGGTAACAGGAAACCGGGCAGTAGTCAGGCCTTGGTTTTCGAGTTGACCGATAAACATTTGAAAGAATGTGAGTGGGAAAAGGGAAAAAGATTTTCCCTTTCCGCATTGACAATAAAAAGGTCTTTTACCGCTCGGAACACAGGGGATATTCCGGTTTACATTAACGCCTATTATATAAACTTGCTGCCATGCGAAGGTTATGGATTCAAGGTTCTCAATTGTGAACCAGTGGTGCTGCCACCGAATGGAACAAAGAAGATTGATATTGCTTTTACACCCGATTTTACTTTGGCCAAAATTACGAGGACTCTGATCCTCCGTACTAGTCTTAATTATCCAGTTAATTACACTTTAGTCACAACAGTTCCTTCGTACTATTTAGCCATATGTTCAAACATTATTCCACGTCCATCATGGGAACGGATTCTGTACTGTGTTTGCTGGATTTCTATGGTTTTGCTCCTCGCATTTGTGGTGGTGATGCCAATAGTTGAGTCCGAGCATATTCTCAAGGACACAATTGGCGCCCCTCGTCAGAATAACACGCAGCACACTTTAAATCTGAAACTAATTGGAGCACAGACACGATCAGAAATGCACGTCAATAAAGCAGAAACCGAGTCTCAACCAAAGAAAATTGAAAATGTGCCCAAATTAGAAGAAGCTAAACAGGAAAAGTATACCGCGGTTATTCCGGCAACGGGAAAGAGCAAAAAGAAATGTCCAAAGAGAACGGACGTACAAGAGAGGGAAAATCGTCGAAAGTGTTGGCTAGAAATGCAGAAACACAAACACGAGGAGCGCGGACTGAAGAAATCGCCACAGCCAAAAAAAGTGGAAGAACCTAAAGTTGTTTACGAAGAAGAGACTTCTTCCACGACAACAGAAAGTAGCAGTAATAACGAGGATGTAGAAAAACATCATAAAAAGGAATGTAACAAAGTTATTAAACCTTGCAGTAGCAGCAGCAGTAGCAAGAGTGACTTGGCCAAAGAAGAACCACAACAACATACCAAGCTGGAGAGAAAGAAATCTTTCCCGAAATCGAATAAGGTATTAGGAAACGTCAACAATAACAACGGCAAGCTTCCAGAAAAAAATGAAACTGCCATAAAGCAAAACACCGAGCTTAAAGTTAAAACTGGTAAGAAGGATAAAAAGGATAAACAGAAAGACAGTAGTAGTATTAATAAAAAAGTTACTGTTCCGAAACCTGTGGAAAATCCAAGCCCAACATTGCACGTCAGCGGGGTTGTTATCAACAGCAGTGGCAATAACAGCAATGCTAACAATACTACCAGCAGCATCTGGGGTGAAAATAAAGCATCGTTCAGCGACGTTGTTGCGAGAAGTGATTCTGCTAATCAAAACTCAGTGCTAACAGTCGTGGCAAAATCTCCAACTGGTATTGGAAGTACACAAGCAACGAAACCTACAATGTATGTAGAGCCATATAAACAACCTGCAACTGGATTGGGACCCATCGGACCCAGAAAACATGATCTCTGGCAGGATTTTACTTCTACGACCGCTCAAACGGACACAAATGTTGCTTCATTTGATAGTTTTTGCACAGAGGCTTTGGCTGCTGAGAGTTCTCAAGCGTTCTTGGATATCGACAATACCAGAGATCCGTGGCCCTCAAGAATCACAAACTCGTCATACTTTAATCCGAGTCATTCTGTGACAAACGGCAATAATAACTCTTTATTGCAAGGTAAACATTTTTATTTTACTATTATGAAATGTATACTTAAAATATGAAAATTTATAACTTCAATTTTCAAGTGGTTTTAATAACACATTTATATTTGAAATTATAAAGTTTATAAAAAAAATTGCTGGACTTAAAAATATCTATGATTGAAAAAAACCCAATTGGAATCAAATACAATTTTATTTTATAGACTCATGGATGATGCCGCAAAACAATGTTAGGTCTACTAACAACCACTGGAGCAATTTTGGAGGTAGTGATGTTCAGAACAATAATTCTGGATATCTATGGGGTACATCCAGTGTGTGGCAATGGAATCCTCCGGAGCCACCACGGACTCCTACCAGAACTCCACCTGGTTTTCCACCGCACAGAGAAGACGAAGAGGTACTGTGTCTGGAATTACATTATCAGTTCATAGAATTTACAATTTACTACATTTTATATAGAGCCAAAGGCAACAACAGCAAACAAATACCATGAGCTACGACAACCCGTTCAATATAAGCAGCATTTGGACACAACACCGCAATTCATGGAACTATCCCCAGGAACAATGAATATAAATAAATATAGATATCTAGGGGTTCAATTAGCGTCTTTGAGGGCCGTTTGCACTTACACTGTTTCAATTTTTATTTGTTTCCAATGTTATTATCTTGTTGTGTTTACTACTATTTTTTTTCTCCTTAATCTCGGAATGGTTTATTAAGACTGCTGTACTCATACAAATACTCATATTTTATTGAGACCCTAGACATTTATTTTCTTATTTATTTGAAAACGTAAAAAAGTGAACGAAAGAAGAAATAATAAACATGCATTGTTTTATTTTATTTTTTCTTTTTCCCAGTTTGGGATATTATTTGTAATTATTTCTCAAAATTTGTTATCACATGTTTATATTATTTCAATACTTTTGAAAAACCAAATATATGTCCGAACATTAATTCTCTAATATTTATTCCTTAAACCATATTAATATGAATAAATACTGACTTAATGAATAACAAAAAAACCTACTTTTCTTGTTACCTTTCATTCATATAAAATTGTTTCATCCAATAGCATTTATTATATTATTTAATATTTGTTTTTAATTTTCTTTTTTTAATATAATTATGAGTTTAAAGACAATTAAGTTGCATAACTATAAAAATAGGTTAAAAATCAATGTCAAAAATAAAGTAGAGCTTTATAACCTATAAAATTATCCGAATTTCAAAGCACAAAATGGTATAAGCAATTACTTTATATACCTATAATTATTTAAAACAATTTACTTTTTAGAATATCCTGAAGACAACCGCATCCAGATTTCTTCGTCTGCCCAATATAACCTCAAATTTTAAATATGCAACTGCAGTTGAGACAGCAAGCAAACCACAAGAAGTTAATGAACCAATTGATAAGTTGTATAAGACAATCGAATTAGAACTGAGAGGAAACGATTCAGCTGTATTAAATAGTTTTGCAAAATTCGCGACTACTGCTGGAAAACACTTGGATGTTCAATCAAAATCGTAATGATATAATAATTCCATTATAATCAATTGTTAAATGCTTATTATTAATTTATTAGATGGAATATGAGGAAACCAGTACATGAAAAATTTACAGTCTTGAAATCTGTACACATTTACAAGAAGCACAGGGTACAATATGAATTTCGAACATATTTCACATTTGTTCAGTATAAGCATTTAACTGGATCCACAGCAGACACACTTTTGGAATATGTTGAAAGGAATATACCTGAGGGTGTTGCACTTAAGGCAACAAAGGTAATGTTGTGATATGTAAAGAAACTTCTTGTACTTATTATTAATTTTAGGTTGAACTGCAATTGTTACCTGATCATTTAGAACCACCAAAGGCAGAATAAGTTATTATAATAATAAAATTAGTTTAATTTTTGTTACATTTTCCTTATTTCTTTTCCATTATTTATTAATAATATTTCATATATATAGTATTATGTTTATATACATAACTATAGTCGCCTGTATGATAAAATTTTATACAAAAGTCGGCAGATTCGAATCTCACCAACAACAAAAAAGTAGGGGGCTAATAATCACCAAATGGGTGACAGAAAATTAAAATATATCTGTAATACATAACAACATTTTCTACTTATATTCTTGTTAACTAAACCAACACTGCAGTGTAATATCTATACCTTATTAATGTTATCTTCTTAACTAATAACAAGTCTAAATCTTTCTGCAATGGAAATTGTAAGTAATTAAATATATTATTATTTAGTCAAAAAGCGCTAATGTGTAGAACTTTCTTGATAGTAAATTTATTTCTAATGAATGTTAAATGTTATGGATAAGTGAATTATTTTTCTCTCTAGATTAACATCAAATTAAGGGCTGTATTCAGAAATAATCCTTGTATTAAGAATATTCATTATTTTATATGTTAATATGTGAACTATCCAATAAAAAAGGATTATTTCAACAAAATTCTATATAATAATAAATAGTCTAGCAAATTATCCTAATTCGGTAGATTAAATATATTTTTAGGTTTATTGCGTATTAAATAATTTTAAGTCTCGTAGGTCAATCAACTATCGACCAGTTAGCCCTTTGACCTTATTAGAAAAAATATTAACATATTAAACATAACCTCAATAAATATGTCAAATATATCTAGATTTGCCAGATTATAGACTTATAATAATAATCTCGGCTTAAAATTTGGGAAAAAGTATGAGAAAAAGTGTCATAATCGTAAATAAACAATCAAAATCGTATTTAGTTTAAACATTAATTTACAATAGACAATAGTCTAACGTTTAATATAGCAAACAAACAAATTCGTTTGTAAAAGAGCCAAATTTACAGACTAAAACAAAAGGTATTAAACATTATCGATGATATTATCTTTAATATATTTTATACATTCGGAAGTAGTGGATAAAATAAGTTACTATATCAGCTGTTAGAAATAATACATTTATTAATATTAATTTATCGTATCTTTATAGTAATTTCTGTTAAATAATTTAAAATAATGTTTTTGATGTCCTCTATCAGCATCAATACAACTTGGCTAATGGACGATCCCTATTAATTGAGGAATATTCTAGAAATTATAGTAGTAAACCTGGCAAAATTATTAGTGTATAACACATAAAATATGGTTATACTTTTTAAATGTAGATAGCGCTACCTGTACAATCTTTACTGTATTGACCGTTTCATAGACTGTCTGATAAAATGTTATGACGTAGCTAGCAGAGTAATACGTCACAAATATCGATTATTCATCGGTAATTGAAATATGATGATTTTAACGCCATGTCGTTTAACTTTTATTATTTGTATTATATTTTGATCATTGCGAATTGATAATAAAATTATCGTCAGATGGAAAGTGCATTTACGACTAAATCGATAGTCTCAATACCTGAAGGAATCGATTCCAAAGGAAGACAGTGATCACATAAACATTTTTGTCGCGGTTTTCTCTTTCCCTGAAGGCCACGAAGTACGTATACCTCGCGATTTTGTTTCGTACAAAAAAAAAGTAGTTTCTGGTATTCATTTATTCTAGAAAAATAATTCGATTATTCTACAAAGGAATGTTTCGTGCAGAAATGAAAAAGAGAAGGCTATAAAAGATATGAATGCACAATGCAGCGGACACAACGACCTGCTGTGAACCCGAAGAAGCACCGCGACTTTTCCATTAGGCCTCCAACTGTCCATTGCATTTGCGTGCAGCGAAAACCATCTTGCATTATTAAAGAGCCGTTCTAATTGCGCAATGTCCTCGTTGCGAAAGTCATCTTCACCTTTTCCGTTGTTCAGTACTTTTTGTTTTGCTGCAGTTTGAGAATAGAGAGAATGTGGCAATTGCACAACAATAGCGAGCGCTTTTCACTAATGGAAACTGCCTGAGGTTTATTTCTGTACGGTATGGAATACAATATCACCCTTTCAAGAACAACGAGCATATCAAATAACGCAAAAAGGTAGACTTTAAATTGCACGCAAAAACGTTCGTTGTGCAATGTTTATGTTACGTTATATGCCTCCGGTATTTGGTTCACTGTATGTATCTTGAGAAATGGTGCATCGACCTCTTGCCAAGATTGTTCGGTAAAAGTGAAGGAACTTGATCTTTCGATGCATTACTATGACGTACGGAATTTACAAAATCGATATTATCTGGAATACGGAAACTTTCTACTGAGTGCGGTGAGGTGAAAGTCTCGGATTCGCAAATATAATAAGCGATTCAACAATTCAATGTATCGATAAAATTCAAAATCGAAAGATTAAGGTCATAATTACAGCTTTATTTACATTTGAATAATAATGATAACAATTGCAGTTTAAGCATTTTTTACCACATTTGTAATTAGTTTTTAGATATCAATTTTTTAAATGTCATGACAATGGTAAACCACAATCTGAAATATTATATCTGGTATTAAATATCGTATTATGCATGTAGTGTTCATAACAAGAATGCTAGACTGGTTTTAATATAAACCAAATATGTTATGACTTTGAATACGACCTTGTTAACATTAATAAACTAACATATTTATATATACATAATATATTTTAACATCAATCTAATCGTATTCTAAGTTACCTTAATATTATAACTTAAGATAAAATCATATCTATAAAATTAATTTGTTCAGTAAACAAATTTCAGAAGTTAGTAGATAATAAAAGAAATTATAATTTCCTTCTCAGATATCGCTTTTTACTATTTATTGAAATTTTATATTGAGATTATAGTTCTACCAATATCTCTAAAGTACAGTGTCATCAATTTGCATGAATAATATTTTACAGGTGGACCAAGGTTTGATGTTCTGGCACTATAAAGTAACATTATTTTAATTTTTAATTATAACGTTTTTAAAGAATCAAGAGTCAACTTATATTACATTCACCCAAGACCGGTGCTAAAGTTTTTGATGCCATAGTAGCCCCTCGCTTTTCTCCACCCCCGAACCATGACAAAATATATTTTTGTTTTTAGTAGTTGGGACCCCCAAACTATCCTTAATCCGCCACTACATACACATTACTTGAAAATAAAATGATTTTATTTGTATACAATTATTTATTTTTATTATATTATTAAAGCGCTATAACATGATGATTTAATCCAGAATACACAGGAAAATCTGACGACATAATCATTTCTCTAATTAAACATAATTATATGATATAGTTGTTTTTCACATATAGTTTTTGATTAATAAAAATGTTGTTTACTTTAATTAGTAAATTACTATGAAATATAATATAAATGTTATTCAGTTTGTTGATCAAATTGACAGAGTAAATTTAAGTTATTAGCATCAATCTATTTTAACAAGTTAATGATAATACGCTGAGAATACGACGTAGACATTTACCAGACTTATTCATTCATTTAAATGCAGCAAATACACAACAGTCATTTTGTAAATATTACGTCTCGGGTGAATACAAACCGCAACATGCAAGATGATAATCAATGTAAAATGCAGGGCTTGAATAATATTAGTGTATATTTAGCAAAAGTAGTAGTAGTAATAGTAATAATAGTAGCAGGGAACAGGTCAGGGTTTTTCGACAGTTGCAGCAGTAATGCGCCATTGCAGGATTTGCAAACTGCGAACATCACGGATCGGATCGAAACGCACCGTTTGACCTAGTTGAGATGCATTTTTAGCAGACTCAGAACTCGAGAATCATGGCTTCCCTCTCGGTCGAAACGTAACATAAATAATGCAAATACCGAAATATCCCTCGTATTTATAAATTCGTGCATAAACACGTATCACTTTGTAAATTTCCATTCAATTTGCCACGAGGCGCACCAATTAAAAATGCAATTACGAACGATGGTTGCGCTGTTGTTTGTGGCAATTACCATCGAAAATCAATTACAATTATACATCGATTTTCCCTTTCTAAGAAATAAGTTGTATCAATCAACTCAAACCCTTAATGTCTTGTATAGAAAGCAATATATTATTTCTTAACTATGTTCAGTGACGTAAAACTATTTTTGCTTTGCACATTATTGCAACAACCCAATTTGACACACTTTATTGACCTTAAAGCTATTAATGTTTGAAAACAAGGCTCAATTTGGAAATGTAATATTTTTGATAACATGTATTTTTCAAAAATTAATCCTTTCAATTTATTTTAGTTAAATTAGAAATACAGCCATACCACCATTAACTGTGATAACGAAGCTTTGATATAACAAAGTCCACAATTTCAAGCTCGAGTTTATTAAATAAAAAAGATGATGGTTTTTCAGTCGTAGATTAATATAATAAAACCTTAACGGTTTATTTAATAAAATTAATTTTTTTTTCGAAAAATCTTTCCATTTTCTTTATTATGACCAGACTTTTTACCTCTGAAAATAAAGTTTCGCTTAAGTTTATTGGAACGCATCATATTTGTTCATCATATCAGATATATTTATTTTCTAACACAATTCCCGATGTAAATTATAAAAAAGTTATTTTGAAAAAAAGGTTTTGAGAAATATAGACTTTTTTAGATACAGTATTATATTTTTGAGGACAAAATTTATAAAAGTTTGTAAAATCACAGTATTTTTCCATCCTTATTCAAACTATTTGAAAAACGGAACAAATTACTTTTGAATACACAATATTTTGTGAATGTAGCTTTTACAAAATATTCGGCTTCCAACTGATAATATAATTTATGACCACTTCAGTTTAATAAGACCTTTCCGTATTGTAATACTATTTTCTTAGAACCAAAACTTTATTTGAAAGGACTTCTCACCAATGGTCAATTTTAAACTAAGTTTTACTTTTCTATTCTATTTCCTTTTCCTAAATATAGCTTTCATCTATAAGTACGAATAATGTTTTATTCGATATTACAAAACAAGTTTTT